GGAGGAGGAGGAGGAGGAGGAGGAGGAGGAGGAGGAGGACAACTGTGGAGTCCCTGGTGCTCTCTGAACTTGCTTGTTTTCTTGCAGGCGTTTATAAGCAAACTAGGTAACTTCATCAGTGCTAGAGAGAGAGGATCAGTGATAAACAGAGTAGTGCTGATGATGTTCCCTAGTTTGGGTAATGAAACATCTACAAGAAAACAAGCAAGCTCAGAGAGCACCCAGGACCCCACAGCCCCCTCCTCCTCGCCTTCCTCTTCCCCCTCCTCCCCAGTAAACCCCACTTCCTCCCAGCACTGATGATGTTACCTAGTTGGGTAATGAAATGTCTGCAAAAAAACAGCCGAGCTCAGAGAGCACCAAGGACCCCATACTCCTCCTCCTCCTCCTCCTCTTCCTCCTCCTCCTCCTCCTCTTCCTCCTCCTCCTCCTCCCTTCTAGCACTGATGATGTTACCTAGTTGGGTAATGAAACGTCTGCAAAAAAACAGCCGAGCTCAGAGAGCACCGACCCCATACTCTTCTTCCTCCTCCTCCTCCTCCTCCTCCTCCTCCTCCTCCTCCTCTTCCCTTCTAGCACTGATGATGTTACCTAGTTTGGGTAATGAGACGCCTGCAAGAAAACAAGCAAGCTGTTTTTTTTGATCTGAAGCTGTTTTTTACCCAGTTCAGATTGGACATCTAGGTTCAAATTTTATGTAGCAAAATGCATCTTCGCTCTCAAAAAAAAAAAAAGAAGAAGAATCTTGGTGGGCTTGCAGGAATTCCTGGGTGGGAGAAATAAAAATAATTATTGGGGAGAGGGGAAGTTCCATTGTAACTGAAAGACCACAGTGTACTGTATTGTGAAAAGGGCAAGGGTGAAATGGCTTCAACCGAATGCGTGGAATCATCAGCACACCTTCTCTAAGTAGTAACTTAAAACTCTTGCTAAGTTTACACCTTTCGACCTATCGCAGAAGTACAAAAGACAAGATACATGAAGACAGTTTTAACAGACCCGTCAAAACGATCTTTAAAAAAAATCCATTAACGAGGTCCACCATGCGGCCATTAGAAAAGCACTATGTGTCCATAATTCAACGATTGTAGAGGAGACAGCTACTTATCATGGCTCTTTTGATTTTCAAAAGAGATAAAAGGATATGAAGGAGAAAACAGAGGTCCTATTAAAACGAAATTTCAGGTTGCAGATCCATTTGTTTAATGCTTCATTGTCTGATTACTTTTAATTAGGTAAGCTGTTTGGGTCTTATCCGGGGGGGGGGGGACGAAAACATGGTTAAAATTATAAATCAAGCCCGATACGGAATTAAATTAAAGGAAATGAAATTAAACTAATTAGGTTAGCTATCAGGAATGGCACAGAAAGTTAAAAGGAAATCAGGCAGCTGACAAACTGGGAAGCAACAGCTAGGTCTGGTATCTTTGCATCCAAGCTCTAAATAAAGAGCTTATTATCATAGCTGAAGATTCATCCAGAGTTTCTTTGGCTATTTTCTTTATTAAAAGCATTTCATAAACAATTTCTTCAAAAACACAGGGAATCAACTTGAGAGATGCACCAATGAGTTGATGAGAGCAATTCCTCAAAAATAAATAAAGGCAGTCTTGACTTAACAACCACTCATTTAGTGACTGTTCCAAGTTACAATAGCACTGGAAAAAGTGCTTTTAAACATTTACAACCGTTGCAGCATCCCCACGGTCACGTGATCAAAATTCAAATGCTTGGCAACTGGCATGTACTTATGACAGTTGCAGAGTCCCGGGGTCACTTTTGCGACCTTCTGACCATCAAAGTCAATGGGGAAAGAAGGATTCCCTTAAGAACCCCGTGTTACTCACTTAACAATTGCAGTGATTCGCTTTACAACCGTGGCGAGAAAGGTCGTAAAATGGGGCAAAACTCCCTTAACAGATGTCTCGCTTAGCAACAGAAACTGTGGGCTCGATTGCGGTCATAGGTCGAGGGCTACCTGTACATTTTAAGTTGCTGTAACTTAAGCAGTAAGTAGTAGGTTCCTAGCAACCACAGTTAGATCTGGCAACATGCATTATTTCAATTAATTCAATTTCACCTCTATGCCATTAACACAAAGGGCAAAACGGATGACGTACTGGATTTTTAAGGAAGTGCTTTAGACAAATCTATGCTCCGATTTGAAATTCCCCAATAACAGGAGTTCCTTATAATAATAATAATAAAGTTGGAAGGGACCTTGGAGGTCATCGAGTCCAACCCCCTGCTCAGGCAGGAAACCCTATACTATTTCGGACAAAGGGCTGTCCAGTCTCTTCTTAAAAACTTCCAGTGTTGGAGCATTCACCACTTCTGGAGGCAGGTTGTTCCACTGGTTAATTGTTCTAATTGTCAGGAAGTTTCTCCTTAATTCCAGGTTGCTTCTCTCCTTGGTTAGTTTCCACCCGTTGCTTCTTGTCCTGCCTTCGGGCGCTTTGGAGAAGAGCTTGACTCCCTCTTCTTTGGAGCAGCCCCTGAGATACTGGAAGGCTGCTATCATGTCCCCCCTCGTCCTTCTCTTCCTTAAACTAGACATGCCCAATTCCAGCAGCCTTTCCTTATATGCTTTAGCCTCCAGTCCCCTAATCGTCTTTGTTGCTCTTCTCTGCACTCTTTCTAGAGTCTCAGCATCTTTTTTACATCGTGGTGGCCAAAACTGGATGCCGCATTCCAAGTGTGGCCTTACCAAGGCCTTGTAAAGTGGTATTAACCCTCCACGTGATCTTGATTCTATCCCTCTGTTAATGCAGCACTGTGTTGGCTTTTTTGGCAGCTGCAGCACATGGCTGGCTCCTCTTTAAGGGATTGTCCACTAGGACTTAACTGGAAGGTGAAAGCAGTCACGATTATGGTCCCAAACACTCATGGTGCTACCCAGCTGGGTAATGAAACGTCTGCAAGGAAACCCCAAGCATCAAAGACCCCCCCCCAGTCACAAACAAGCCCACTGGAGCCCCAGTCCTGTCGTGTATGTGTTGCGATGCACATAAAAAGGTTCAAACACACCATCACGACTGTCGTCGTGACTCTTTTATCACCACCACCACCACTGTCCATGCTTTATGGTCAGCTTCTTGTCCCAGTCCAGGAGAACATCTTCACAAAAGCACGGCCCACACTTACCATTGTCTTGCACCAAAGGCACTTCCAATCTTGCAGGCGGAGAACACTGCCGCAGGTTTTGTCACACACAGCACATCTGGCGCTGACCGGAAGGTTGCCTTCTAGCCACTGATGAGGCATGGCTACCTGGAGGGGAGGTTGATTGGAGTCAATGGGGAGGAGAAATAAGAAAATTCAACTTCCATCCCTTTTGACTTCGGTCTCGTTCCTAGAGTGGGGAATTGGTTGGTCCATTTTCAAGCTACTCTGGGCCAGCTCTGGACCCAGGATGAAACTTTGCATTTCAACTTGCCTTTACATTAAGGGGGTGGGAGGTGTTACTTTCAAGTGGTTAAATGGAGGAACGAAACCTCTTCGATTCAGCTGCAGACTGCGGAAGCCTGAAGCCTTGTCAAGGACACCAGAACAGGTGTGGATTTGAAGCAGACGGTTCCCATCACAAAGTGGACGTGTTGATATGAATGGTGTAAGACGTTGGGGGTTTGGCTGGGAAAATGATTGTTTAAGTCTATGAATTGGTGTGGGAACCTCAGAGTTAGTTTTGCTTCGACATAACCAAGCAGTGTATTCAATAAACAGTAAGATTTTCAGAAACGGAATGAACCTGGAGTTTTATTTGGATTCTCAAGCTGGATATTGACAGTCTGATCTGAAGAGGTCCACTCACTCACAAGGAACTTTATTCCAATGTTTTTCCTTGGTTGAGGCCATCCTCATGTTCCAAAAAGTAAAGGGAGCCATATGGGTGCAATGAGCTAGAACCCAAGAGGATCGTGACCTCTAGTCCGCCCTTAGACATGAAAGCCGACTGGGTGACTTGAGGTCAATCAGGGTCTCTCAGCTCAACCAATCTCACTGGGGGAAAGAGGAGGCAGGAATTCCATGTACTCAGCCTTGTGTTGTACAAAAAAGAATGTGGGGTACAAATTGATGAAGGTGAGGATGACGATGAAGACAAGGATGAGGATGAGGTTGAGACTTAGGTTGAGGTTGAAGGTAAGGGTGAATGTGAGGGTGAGGATGAGAATGAGGTTGAGATGGATGTTGAGGGTTAGGGTGAGGATGAGGTTGAAACTGAGGGTGAGGCTGAAGGTGAGAATGAACGGGAGGATGAAAGTGATGGTAAGGGTGAGGTTGAAGTAAGGCTGAGGTTGAGGGTGACGATGAGGATGAAGATAAAGATGAGGATGAAAATGATGTTGAACTTGAGGTTGAGGTTGAGGGTAAGGATAAGGTTGAAGTTGAGGGTGAGGGTGAGGGTGAGGGTGAGGGTGAGATTGATGTTGAGGGTGACAATGAGGTTGAGGGTTAGGGTGAGGGTTAGGGTGAGGATGAGGTTGAAACTGAGGCTGAGGCTGAGGATGAAGATGAGGATGAGGATGTCTGGAGGCCGTACGGGTCTGGATGGGGAGAAACAGACTCAGGCTCAACCCTTCCAAGACTGAGTGGCTGTGGTTGCCGGCTCCCAGGTATGGTCAGCTGACTCCATCGCTGACTATAGGGGGCGAAACCTTGGCCCCCTCGGAGAGGGTACGCAACTTGGGGGTCCTCCTGGATCCACGGCTGACACTGGACGACCAGTTGACGGCTGTGGCCAGGGGGGCGTTTTACCGGGTACGCCTGGTGCACCAGTTGCGGCCTTTTCTGGACCGGGATGCCTTGCGCACAGTCACCCACGCTCTTGTCACCTCCCGCCTGGACTACTGTAATGCTCTCTACATGGGGCTTCCCTTGAGGAGCACTCGGAGGCTCCAGTTAGTCCAGAATGCGGCCGCGCGGGCGGTGATGGGAGCGACTCGTCGCTCCCATGTAACGCCGCTGCTGCGCGAGCTGCACTGGCTGCCTGTGGCCTTCCGAGTGCGCTTCAAGGTGTTGANCCCTCCTTCCGCTGCGCCCTCAAGACTTGGTTATTTCAGCGGGCAGGACTGGCCTAGGGGTATTTTAATTGGTTTTAACAAAATTTTAGTAGAAGCGGCCTATTCAAATATTTATTTTTAATCATTTTTAAATTTGTATGGTATTGTATTATTGTTTTTAAACTGGCTGTAAGCCGCCCTGAGTCCTCCGGGAGAAGGGTGGGGTATAAATTTAATAAAATGAAAAAAATAAATAAATGAGGGTGAGGATGAGGTTGAGATTGATGTTGAGGGTGACAATGAGATTGAGGTTGAAGGTAAGGGTAAGGTTGAAGTTGAGGGTGAGGGTGAAGGTGAGGGTGAGGGTGAGGATGAGGTTGAGATTGATGTTGAGGGTGACAATGAGATTGAGGGTTAGGGTGAGGATGAGGTCGAAACTGCGGTTGAGGTTGAGGTTGAGGATGAGGATGAGGTTGAAGTTGAGAATGAGGATGAAGATGAGTGAAGTTAAGGCTGAGGTTGAAACTGAGGTTGAGGATGAAGGTGAGGATAAAAATGATGCTGAAGTTGAAGTTGAGGTTGAGGATAAGGGTGAGGATGAGGATGAGGGTGAAAATGATGTTAAGGCTTAGGGTGAGGTTGAGACTGAAGTTGAGGGTGAGAATGAGGATGAAGATAAAGATGAAGATGAGGATGAGGATGAGGATGAGGATGAAGATGCAGGATGAGGTTGAAGATGAGGATGATCCCAAGGATTTCCACAACACTTCAAAGATGCCTGGAAGAAGAGCTACTGTATTTCTTAAGAAGCTGAACAGACACCCTCAGCATTTCACCAGTGGCATTGTACAGCTTCTCATTCTCAACCCTTGGCCACTAGTGTTTTTTCTTCACAACTGCAAGACCAGGTGGCCTATTGGTCTTAAACTCTGGCCATTTTCTGCAGCTGCAAATGAAGCTATTGTAGACACCTCCAAGCCTGCCGGAAAGAAATCTGTAACTCCTCGGGGCCTACTTGAAAATAGTCCAAGGTCTTCTTGGTGATAGAGTTACATCCTGAATTCAATAGGACATCATGTGCTAAAAACATGTTTGTTAAGACAGGACCCACCGCTAGCTACAACCCACCCTGCCTAATTGTTATTACAGGCAACTGTTTTTCAACAAAAACTGAAGCATGCGTGTTGCAAAGACTTACACCATCTTCATCCTCAATGATATCTCTTCCAATTGAAGTCAACGTTGTCCATTTGCAATTATTTATGGCCCGAACGGCACACCTTTTGTGAGCCTTGAACTTGCATACTAGGAAAAAAGGAAACAAATTTAAAAAAAGAAACATAGATAGATTCCTGAAAACGTTATTTCTTCGTGGTCACAAAATCTATCTTAACCAAATACCCATTTATGGAGAAGGATTTGCTTCCAGCCTTCACCAAATTACAGATAGTCCTCAACTTACGACTGATCACTTAAGAACTGCTCAGAGTTACAATGGACCTTCCCAGAGCTACTTACAACCCGTTTTAGAAGTTAAGATGGTTGCACAAACACATCCAATGTCAGAAGAATCAGGACCACGTGTTAAGGTCCAGTTAAGCTGATTTATTGCTCATGTGTATATACAAGAATCTAGACCGGGGGTCTTCAAACTTGGCCCTTTTATGACTTGTGGACTTCAACTCCCAGAATTCCTCAGCCAGTGAACAGAATAGAATAGAATAGAATAGAATAGAATAGAATAGAATAGAATAGAATAGAATAGAATAGAATAGGACAGGACAGGACAGGACAGGATGGAATAGAGCAGAGCAGAGCAGAGCAGAGCAGAACAGAATAAAATAGAATAGAAGCTGGAAGGGACCTTCTGCTTGACCCCGTGCTCAAGCAGGAGAACCTATACCATCTCAGACAGGTGACTGTCTAGCCTCTTCTTAAAAATCTCCAGTGATGGAGCGCCCATGATTTCTGGTGGCAAGCTGTTCCACTGGTTGATTGTCTTCACTATTAGGAAGTTCCTCCTTAATTCCATCCCTCTTCTCTCTTTGATCAGCTTCCAACCATTGTTTCTTGTCCTTCCCTCTGATACCTGATCTATTCAGTCCCGTGGAGGCATTAAGATCCTCCCCATGCACACGTACACACACAAGTGAGGCTGCTAGACAATCTCTTTGTAAGACACCTTATGAAGCCAAGATGCATAGCATCTGCACTCTTACATAAACAAGGGCTGCAAACCACTTCAGACCTTAGCCAAGTCCCTGATAATTATTATTTATCACAATGAGCGCCTGTTGCTTGCAAGCGGGCGATTCAGCATCCCAGAAGTTTTGAGCTGGTGGCTTTCCAAGAACAGCTGTCTCTCCACATGCCTTCGTTGGTTCCAAAGAAAGAAAAGCAAAAACATTAATCTGACAAGATCCAAATCCTGGGACTTATAGTTTAACTTGTCAGCAAGCATTAACACTCGCCTGGGGATCGCCCCGAGCATGTTATTTAGTTTCCAATAATATGGATAACCGGGTTTAAAAAATCCTGCAAATGGAATCCAAGAATTGTACATGGAATGAATCAAGGTACTCGTTTAAGGAGAAACTTCCCAACGGTGAGAACAATTAACCAGTGGAACAGCTGGCCTTGAGAACTTGTGGGAGCTTTATCACTGGAGGCTTTCAAGAAGAGACTGGACTGCCATCTGTCAGAAATGGTGTAGGGACTCCTGCTTGGGCAGGGGGTTGGACTAGATGACCTAAAAGGCCCCTTTCAAACTCTGCTATCCTATCCTATCCTATCCTATCCTATCCTATCCTATTCCATTCTATATATGACCTGCATTTAATCAAAGTCCTGACCCCAGCTACTGCATGGGCAGGGGGTTGGACTAGATGACCTACAAGACCCATTCCAAACTTTGTTATTTTATTCTATTCTATTCTATTCTATTCCATTCCATTCCATTCCATTCCATTCCATTCCATTCCATATTTTCTATTCTGTTCCATTCCATTCCGCTCTATCCCATCCCATCCCATCCCATCCCATCCCATCCCATCCCATCCCATCCCATCCTATTCTATTCTATTCTATTCTATTCTATTCTATTCTATTCTATTCTATTCTATTCCATTCCATTCCATTCCATTCCATTCCATTCCATTCCATTCCATTCAATTCAATTCTATATATGACCTGCATTTAATCAAGGTCCTGACCCCAGCTACTACAGGGGCAGGGGAATGGACTAGATGACCTACAAGACCCATTCCAAACTTTGTTATTCTATTCTATTCTATTCTATTCTATTCTATTCTATTCTATTCTATTCTATTCCATTCCATTCCATTCCATTCCATATTTTCTATTCCGCCCCATCCCATCCCATCCCATCCCTTCCCATCCCATCCCATCCCATCCCATCCCATCCCATCCTATTCTATTCTATTCTATTCTATTCTATTCTATTCTATTCTAAACATGACCTGCATTTAATCCAAGTCCTGCCCCTCAGCTACTGCAGGTTCTCTTCCTTCTCATGCTCCATGCAAAAAAGGAAATAAAACAAATTCCTGGGGCCTGTCAGGTTCGAACACGTCGTGTGAATTTTGTTATTATCCAAAAATCCAAAGAAATCTGAGCGATTGCAGCAAAGGGTCGCCTTGAAGCTGCAAGGCCACCATTTCTCCGATGAGCTGAACAGTCCAAACCAGTCACGAGGTGCCTCGACTTACGACTACGGCGACTCACAACCAAAATCCCAGTCGCAAGTCAAGGATCTCCCGTGACCCATCGCACGTCCGCAAATCAGCAAACGGCAATCCGTTCTCGGAAAAGGCAGATTCACTAACCGATGAATGAAAGCACGGGTGAATTGTCCAGGCTAGAAAGAAAGACGTTGAAGTGACAGAAGCCAGCAGAAATTACCGCTCTGTTTACGCACAGGGACTCTTAACTCTGCCTTTTAGGGGCTAAACTATTACCTTCGCAAGACAAACCGTGGGAAGTTACTCCGGAGAGGCTTTCGCGGCAGACGTTGCAAAACGTGGGCCTCGCGTGGGAACAGGCATACCAGTTGTGCATCCCTGAAAAGTGTTCCACGTTAAACTGGGCCGCCTAGTAAAAAAAAAAAAAGTTAAAAGACAGATTGCCATGTGCATGACGTACCAGGGTTACCATCGCCACATTTTGGAGAAGTTCCTCTTTCGAGCAAAACCCCCCTCAAAAAAATAAGACATTCATTCTTTTGAAGCAAAAAAAAGAGAGAGAAAAGAACAGACTAAATATAAACCTCAGCTCAGTCTTCATGCATTTATTAAGAACACAAACATTCTCCTTCCTATTTTTTGCATCTTAATAAAGGGGACAACCCTGAATTTTTCTTTAAAAAAAAAACAACCAAAAACCAGCGGTCCCAAAGGCCCGTTCAGCTTACCTCGTAATGTTCCCGGGACTGGACCGACTTCAGCGAAGTAATCCAGTCTTCCATCTCTTTTCTGTTCTCTGCACACAATATCAGTCTCCTGAATGGGGTGATTATCTGAAAAGGATCGCTTAGGTTAGGATTGCAAATTGCTAAAGGGAAGGCAGGTCCAAGTGGAACATAAAAATAAGGAAACGTCCTTTTCTCCGACACATAAAGGAGAACGTTCCCCTTTATTCGCCGCCGTAAGAGCAAATTAAACCAGCAGCCACAATACTCAAAAAAAAAAAGCTTTCGGGGTTGTACATTTCAGAACACAATCATTTACTTTGCCAGCACTAGATTTGTACACGCCCAGAGGGGAAAAAAAAAAAAATCAGAATGTTCTACGGGTGTGTTTTAAAACACGTCTGTAGTTTTATAAAGGAGTCACGACCACGGTCGGGAGAGATAAATCTTTCTTGATCTCCTGCATTTGACAAGCATACAATTATCTAAGGATTTTGGGTAACCAGAGATTGTCGTGCTAACCAAAACACGGCACCGCCTGACAGAGGGAAGGCTGTCAATTATCTGAGTTGAAGAACATTCCCTGTTCAGATGGGTCGCCCTGCCAAATCTTAAATTCGAATATCACTTCCTTGGTCAGAAATTCCTCAGGATTATTAAAACGAAGACGAACAATATACACCTCTGACTTCTGAGAAGCAACAAGTTTAGAACATATTTTTTCCATCCTGGCTAAATGCATCGCTTGGTATATTTTTTAACCTTTCCGGAGACATCGTTTTGCAAAGCTTAAGTGATGCTATAATCTATTAAAATCAGCAGAACGCAATTCCAGAATCTGAATTCCATGTAAAGATCCACTAGAGCGGCGTCTAGTTGATAAACCTGGTTTAGCATCTTGCAAAATTACAAGATCTTCCTGGCCACAACTTACCCCGTCTTCTTGGCAGTGTGTTCGGTCTTTGCTTCTCTCCACAAATGGCACTAACACATCAGACAAGCTCACTCAGTACACACACACACACACACACACACACACACACATACACAGCCCAAGAGTCACGTGGAAACAGCAGAAACTCCCGAGCATTTTCATATAAACTAAACAGAAGGATCTTTTTCCGTCCTTCTCTTTCTTGCCCCCTTCACACCCTTAGTATCCATTCCTTTTCCTGAACGTCAGCAAATGAACAAGCAACTAAACTTCATTTTTAATTTGTGCCATTGTGCCCACAATAAAAAATGACAATAAAGGTTATCTATCTCACTATTGCTCTATCTATCTCTCTATCATCTCTCTATCTCTCTATCATCTCTCTCTCTCTCTCTCTCTCTCTCTCTCTCTCTCTCTCTATCTCTATCTATCTATCTATCTATCTATCTATCTATCTATCTATCTATCTATCTATCTATCATCTTGTCTGTCTGTCTGTCTGTCTGTCTGTCTGTCTGTCTGTCTGTCTGTCTGTCTATCTATCTATCTATCTATCTATCATCTTGTCTGTCTGTCTGTCTGTCTGTCTGTCTGTCTGTCTGTCTGTCTGTCTGTCTGTCTGTCTGTCTGTCTGTCTGTCTGTCTGTCTGTCTGTCTATCTATCTATCTATCTAGGCTGCCAAACTGTATTTCTTGCTCTGAGTTGGAAGAAATAATGGAATGGAATAGAATAGAATAGAATAGAATAGAATAGAATAGAATAGAATAGAATAGAATAGAATAGAATAGAATAGAATAGAAAAAGAATGGAAGGGAACAGAACAGAACAGAACAGAACATAAGAAATAAACTGGATAATTGACTCAATTATTCACACTGTGATCAAAGCAAATCACGAAGCCTTCAAAACAGATTCTTGGCCATCAACTGGAAGGTTTTGTGCATCTCTTTTAAAGCACCCACGTTGTTTGCAAGGTGTGATCCTTTGAAAAGCCTTCCTGGCTGTCTCCACATCCATTGGCCTTCACAACCCTTTTCCTTCCATTTTCCTCCCAGCAGCTTAGCCTCCAAAGCAACCGTTGCCTCTTTGCCAAAGTTGCAGGAAGCATGACCAGGCACAAAAACACCCATCGCTTCCCGTCAGCTACGCTGTTTTCTATCCCTCCAACTTTCTTCTAGAACAGTGGTTCTCAACCTTTTTAATGCCACGACCCCCAACCGGTCGTAAGTCGAGGACTAAACCGGTCGTAAGTCGAGGACTACCCAACCGGTCGTAAGTCGAGGACTTTCCCTGCCCGGGAACGCGGCGCATGCGTGGTTCCGCCCCCTGCGCCGGCCGAGGCGTAGCTGGCAAGCGGCAGAGACGGAGCAGGCCGACCACCAGCTGGCCCAGCCCAAGGGAGGTAAGGCCCCCGCCGGAAAAGGGGGAAAAATGGCGGACAGCCTTGCTTGGCGACCCCCGTGAAATGGTCGATCGACCCCAAATGGGGTCGCGACCCATAGGTTGAGAACCGCTGTTCTAGAAAGACCCGACAAAATTTTAAAATGAACCACTAAGTGAAAAAAAACCACGTTGTTGTTTTTATTATTATTATTATTATTATTATTATTATTATTATTATTATTATTATTATTATTATTATTATTATTATTATTATTATTATTATTATTATTATTATTATCATCTAAAAGTTTCCTAATGGTCTGTGGAGATTCTCAATCATCCAGGTTGTCCCCAAGGAGGGTTTTTTCCCCCGAAAAGCAACTGAATTTTTTTGGGGTTTTTTTTCTTCCTCTTGAAAACATTTCGCTTCTCATCCCAAGAAGCTTCTTCGGTTCTGAACTGAAGAAGCTTCTTAGGTGAGAAACTAAACGTTTTCAAGGGGGAGGGGGGGAAAAAACCTCAAGAAAGTCCAGTTGCCTTTTGGAAAAAGCACCTTTAGAGTTTCCTAATGGGATTCTTGGAAGAATTGAGGGGAAGGTTGAGTTGATCCGTCAGCTCAGCTAAATCAGATTCCCATTTAAACATCTGTTGCATTCAGTGTGGAGAGAGTGAAAGAGAGGAAAACAGACAGAAAGGCAGAGAAATAATAATAATAATAATAATAATAATAATAATAATAATAATAATAATAATAATAAGAAGAAGAAGAAGAAGAAGAAGAAGAAGAAGAAGAAGAAGAAGAAGAAGAAGAAGAAGAAGAAGAAGAAGAAGAAGAAGAAGAAGAAGAAGAAGAAGAAGAAGAAGAAGAAGAAGAAGAAGAAAACAAAATACAAAGACCTACAAATAGAAATAGAAAGACTGTGGCAAAGGCAAGCAAGGGTAGTACCAATAGTCATAGGCGTCTTGGGTGCAATCCCAAAACAACTGGAGCACCACTTGGACACCATCATCGGCATTGACAAATTCACCGTTAGTCAATTGCAAAAGGCGGCCTTACTAGGAACTGCTTCCATCCTGCGACAATATCTGTAATACCATCAAACATCCACATCTGCCTATCCCAGGTCCTGGGTAAGGACTCGATAGGTAGACAAAATGCCAAATCCAGTCTGAACATCTGGCTGACTGTGCGATGATCCATAATAATAATAATAATAATAATAATAATA